CTTGATAACTGTTTTGTTATATGTAATTTTGCTATGTTAAAGTTAAAGCCTTTCTTTTTTGTTTAAACAGAAAAAGGGGAATTGATGTGGGAGTGATTTCTTATTAATAAAGAAACTGCCTAGGCCCCTTGATAAGGCCCACCCTTGGGTGGGTGGAGAAAACAGGAGAATTCTGGGAGAAGGAGTCTTGGTGGAGAGTCGCCATGATGCTCCCACTCCAGACAGACGCAGGTTAAGATCCTCTCTGGTAAGCCAGCTCATGGGCTACACAGAATATTAGAAATGGGTTAGAACAATATGTAAGAGCTAGCCAATAAGAAACTGGACCTAGCCGGCCAGGCAGTGTTTGAAAGAATACAGTTTCCGTGTAATTATTTCTGGGTATAAACTAGCCATGTGGGCGGCCGGGTGCCGGGGACGCAGCCCTGCCGCTCCTATTTCAACACAGAGTAAATTGGGAGCGAGCTTGAGGACCTTGGGAGAGGGTTGAAGGGGAGGAGAGAGGCAGGGAGGGGAGCAGAGAAAATGTATAGCTTAATAAAATCAATAAAATAAAAGACTTTGTCGACCACACATTTGCACCAGGACATCCTGCACCACAGGACCAAGTGACTGTGCACTGAAACCACCAACCCATGCCAGCTCTTTCTCCCTTTGGCTGGCTTAAAGCAAGTAAATTGTCTGGCAGAAAACTGATTGCCACACTGTTTAAAACACCCGAAGAGCATCCACGGTCATTAACTCTCCCAGTCCAATCCAGCTATCGCTACAACATACCACAGAGTGGGTGGTTTTAAAACTGTTTGGGCCTGGGATGCCCACTGAATGGTTCTTAGTGTCTGGTAAGGGCCTGACCCCAGCTTTGGAGCTGGTACCCTCTGTGGTGTTTTCTCATGGCAGGAGGAGTGAGATGTCCCTGAGCCCTCTCGGGGTGTGATTCTGTTGATAGAAGTTTCACCTCATGACCTAAGCACCTGCAGAAGCACCTACTCCCAAGGCCATCGCCTTAGGGAAATAGGATTTGTGCGTGCAGATTTTGGGGTTGGGAGCAGACATTCAGAACACAGCACTGCCGTCAGAACTACGTAATACTGCTGTTCAGTTTGAGTCAACCCTGTAGATGTGTGCACGGGTGACTGTCAGCAAACCTCATTCAAAATTCGCCCTTGTTATTCTAAATAACCAAGAGATCAGGGAATTCACTTCAGTCCTGCTACTGGCTAAAAAGCAGCCCACGCTCTCTTGAGGAGTATACATGGGTACCACAGGTAGATAGCTGGTCAGGAGAACTTGGAGATGTGTTTTGTTGCCTTCATTGCTCTTGACATTGGTGGCTGTGTTCGCATCTTTTCCTTTTGTGTAGTAGGAAGGCTTCAGGCTTTAACCGTGTTTGTAACTCTGGTTACTAAGATTGAGCTACATTAATGCAGTAGGACAGGCTGTAGGAATCCTTTTCTGTAAGGTGATGGACAGTAATTTTTAAGGTGTTTCAGGTTGCCTAGTTTCTGTGAAAACTACTCAACTCGGTGAGGTAGCCATGGACAATATGAGGTTAGTGGCAGTGGGGCTGTGTTCTAATTAAACTTTATTTAGAAGGGAGTAGGCAGAATGTGGCTAGAGCTGGAGGTGTAACACAATGAAAAATAAAAAAGTGGGAAAGAAACAACGTTGCAGAGCCTGGAGAAGCTGCATTGGGGAAAGGGCTGGGCCTGCATGGAATAGGTGAAGAGGTGGAGCCTTGATGGGGTGGAAGAGATCCTGACAGTGCGTGGGAACCAGAATATCATGTATGTCATCCAGAACAAACAGAAATGTTTCTTAACTCTCAAGCCACTGTAAAGGAAACGTTGATACAAAGAGAAAATGTCTGTCTGACAGTGAACCCGATGCTAACAATTCCAAGGGGAAAGGGGCATCGCTGACAAAGCAAGGTGCTGCTACAGGGGTCCCAGTGCTGAGAAGTGATAATCTCATAAACAGAAGGGCTCCAAGGCAGGAAGAGGCAAGCGGGCATGAGTGTGCTCAGATTATAATTGCTTTTCATGGAGAGGGAGAGGGAGAAGGAGAGGGAGAGGGAGAGGGAGAGGGAGAGGGAGAGAGAGAGAGAGAGAGAGAGAGAGAGAGATCTGAAACCTTAGTTTTGGAATTGCTAGTGTGAAAAAAACTAATTCCATTCTAATGGAAATCGGAGATTTGGTAAGTGGATTTTGACAATATTAATGGTTTCTGGGGTTTGTTTTTGCTTTGCATCAAAAGGTAACTCTGCTTTTCCATAAAGAAAAGCTTCCTGGAGCTGTCCCCTTATCCCCTTATCAGACAGCATCCTGACATCCCAGTTTCCTTCATCTTCATTGGAGGACAGCTTTGTCTCAGTATTGGGAAGTTTTCTAGCCATTGCTCAATCAGAACCGACTTTTAACCAGTGTGAGAAACATAGTGTGTGACTGCTATGACTTTTGTTCACGTGTGTTTGCATAAAGTATCTATAT